ATGTGGCCACAGAATGAGCGTGCCAGATCTGGCTGGACCCTAACCTCAACCCAAACCTCAGTCCTCTTTGTTAGACCTGTAGATAAAGAGGTAGATATAAAGCCATCCTCTCCACCTCTTGGAAATTGAGCAACCTGGATTTTAAACCTGATTTTAGACTGTGACGCTCTGGGTCAAACTTGGCATCTCTTACATAATCAAAGACAAATACTCTTAATTCCAGTAGTCCTTGATTTCAGACTGCTTGAATTTACAATGTTATTATTCCAGGAATAATAGGGGAGAGAATGAAAATAGCTAATCCTTTATCTCGTTGGGGAGTGTTGAAGGGGAAGACCTCTATGGACTAGAACCTTCCTGATACCTCTGTGTTTGAGAGCAGAACTGGAGTGTCTAGAGCTGATGCAGGGAACTCCAGCCCTGGGGCTAATGCAATGCCTGTTAGCAACACCAGGTAGCAAGCCCTGGCAGGGCCAGTGGCTAGAAAAATCAAGAAGCAACATGCACTGAGGCACTTACAGATGTTTATGAACAGCAAGGAAGTGGCTGAGGCTCTTCCAGTCAGTGGAAGGAAGTGGGGTCTAACAACCCCTGAATGTGCACCTCCAACCACTTCTCCTGCCCTGTTCCCTCCACCCTGGGATTTCCAAAGCAGCTCTTTGCTTATCTACCTCAGATAGTATCAAAGCTAATACAGCCACTCGTGAGAACACAACTGGGCAACCTGGGGCCTTTTGGAAACACCATCCTCTAAATAGGAAGAACAAACATGGTGAGGTCCAGGGAGCTGCTTTTCTCTTCAGTCCTCGGTAAACATTTTTCACTAGTTCCAAAAATAAAAATGCTTTGGACAGCTACCTAAACACTCCAGACTCAACAAATATCTTTATTATACAAAAATAAAGAAAATTTCCTGCATGTGGTTTGCTTTCAGCTACCATTATCTACTTAATAGACACTGAGCTAAGCAAGAAAAGCATAATAAAAAATCAGCTTTATGCTAGACTTCTTGCATAACACAGGACAGACATTTTATTTTCTCCAGTGACCTCAGTCTCTATGCTCTGTTAATTGATGGTTTGGTGTATGCATCCACTGAGGGGGGAAGCACATGGCTGCAAATAAGTTTTTCTGGGTTATATATTTGTAACATAAGAAAGGAAAATAGTGCCTCAGTTTGTAACCATGTAGGTAGCACAGGCTGTCTGACTAGGCTAGTTCTCCCACAAATAGGTATTAGAAGATGTGCCTGATGTCCCATTTGCAGGTCAAATCAGACCTCATCAGGTCAGCTGCTGCTCCTGAAACACTGCCTGCCCTCCTCTGATTGTGCCTAGTGGCAACAGCTCACCACTGGAATTTGTTTCTTAGTGTTACAGAGCTCTTGGACTGCATGCCCTAGAGCGACTGTGGCCAGACAAAGGCAATCTCTTTTCACATAGAGCAGAATCCCAAGCCCTATGAACTTAGCTCCCTCTGTTTGGCGTTACTGATCCGTTAGTCTAAATATGGTACATGGCAGTTTGATGGAAATCATTTCCAGTAAGAGAGGATGTTTCCTCAGCAGTTTTCAAGCTGGCTCTGACTCAGGCATTCTCATGGGAGCCCATTTAACTGGTCATTAGGGAGACAGCAAAAAGGCATTGAGGAATTTCGTAACAAAGATGTGCATCCTGTATGAAAGACCTCCTGAGAATCCTCCTGGCCATTGGCTCTGTGCATGCTTGAGAGATTTTATTAATGCTGCTGAAAAAGTATTGCTGAAGCTAATCTATTATTTGTGCATAATTTTAAAGATGCTGTATTGTACTTGTTCCAGCAATGTGATGAACCACTGTGCTTGTAAAATGCTGTGCTCAAACAACCCATAATTAAATGTTTAAAGTCGATTAACACCCTATATTGCAACACACTAATCGATGGTGGAAGGGTTGCAGCTACCAAGTGAATAACAGGAAGAAACATCCAGAATTTGCTAAGAGAAGTCTGCTCACAAGCTCGGAGTATATATATCAAGCAAACAGTCTATTTAAGAAAGTAAAGGTTGTGAATCACCCTTACAAAAGCCATAAGAGGCAAAATAAGCATTCATAACACACTCTATGATTTATGCCTTTTTGTGCCTATGTGTTTCAGGACAAATCTTTTCCAGACTAGCAGTGGTGGAGAGTTACTAAAGCTTTAATTCTTTGAAGACACTGAATAAGCAGATTTATTTAGGTGTGATGGCTGGACTCACTGGCTTTACTAATATTACTAACATGTTTAAAAGACAGTACCATCTTAAGAGTTTCACTGGACTGACCCTAGTAGCTGGCAGAAGGGTGTGCATCACGGGTAGCAGAATTTTTAGTTTCCATTTCAAACCTCCCAGGTCGTGGCTGCTCCCAGCCCCAAAACACCCCTGGAGAGGAGGGCAGCAGGCCTAGCGACAGACCCCTGCAGAGGGGCTCCTGTGCAGCTGGGGCTTCCCAAAGCCAGCTGTCTTCACTGCTAGGAGAAATTCTGCCAAGTCCTCATGGGGGATGAGGTTTTCCCAGGCTAGTCACATGCAGATGGCGGCTAAATTATATATTCCTGGTTTTGGATCTGTGGCTTTAGTCCTCTCCTACAGTGATATCTTGGCTTTGGGTCCAATTTTATGTTATTTTGTGTGACACCATCCAGCATCCATCACTCCACATTACAGATGTGATCATGCCTATCAGGAGCACCAGGCTTCCCTCCTTTCCCCTTTGATTTGCATTTCATCATTGAGAAGTGTGCACGCTTTCATGTAAGTCTTGAGCAATCCAGAGAGACAAGGGCCTGTTGGGTGAGTAACTTGTAAGGGGATCTTCAGATCTCCTAATTCAGACCCTAACACTCATGCAAAGAAAATGCAAAAGGACTCCCTTACTGACCCCTCTTTATGAGACTCAGACATTAGGTAGGATTTTTTTACTGTTGATCTGAAGATACTTTGATTCTTATCATGAAAGTAAGACTGTTCGTTGAATGTTTACTTCCAAGCAAGACTGAATCACAACCTTTTCTGCTTGCCTGAATAAACAAGAGTTATCATGAGTGGAATTATGTTGCCTAAGTTTTGGATCAAATGCCTATGGGACCGGGAGCTTGGTTCCTGGGCATGTTGGCCAGGTGCTACACATAGGGCTGGCAACACTGGGGGAAAATGGCCTGGAAAAGGAGCAGAAAGGCATAGGGAGAAAACACACATGGGGCAAAGGAGGAAGGAAGTTTAGGTAGACACAAAATCAATTTTGTAAAAAAAAAACACAACCTGTAGTGTTCAGATGTTCTAGACTGACATGTGCGACATACTGCAATTGATCAATCCCTTGGGCTTACTAGTCAAGGGCCTTCAAAAGAGTAAAGCATTGATCTTTTAGATGTTATAGAAAGGTTTACATCAGGAAAATATATCAGAGTTTTCTCCGCTCATAAAATTAAATTTCCTTGGATAGCTGGGCATTCCCTATGGATCTGCATTCCAATACTTCACCTCTCTGATAGTACTCTCTGTAGTTAGTGCTATTATAGCTCTGCATGCTCTTGTTATTTGACTGAATCTGTCTGATATCTTTCTCCTTCATATTAAGCTCTTGACCTCTTTAACCTCTTGTGGCCAGGAGATCTTTACCCTAACTAGGTGCGTGAAGAAGGATTGTTTAAGCTGACCTAGTCTGCTAAGCCTCTATTTTAAGCTATTAAGCCTAGTCCAGCCTTACAGATGCCTAGCTTTTTAGGCAATCTTATCCAATGTATATTAGCCAAGACATCCCTGTAGCTGAATTTAATATTTAAAGATTTAGCAAAACAAACTTGCTGTTACTTGTTTTGAGAAAAATTCCTGCAATGAGAGGCATGAATTACACATAATTATTGACCCTGCAGTGTAAATAGTGATGATAGGAAGCTTTTAAAATGTACATTATTAAACTGGTAGAGTGTTTATAGCTATAGAGACATCAGTGGTTTGGCAATTAAATCTGCATTTATGAACTCTCCTAAATAGATAATATTAGTCCAAAAAATTTAGTTTTAAGATAATTAAAAAAAAAAAAGACCAACAAATGCAACAACATTTTTCAGATCCAGGACACTAAATTGTCTATGAGCTGTTATAATCTTTAATTTAAATTATATAAATATCCCCCACAGAACAGCTTCTTTTAGGGCCTGTTCCAAGGACCTTAAGTGAGCGTAAAGTCTTTCCACTGACTTCAATCAGCTTTGAAAAGACACTTAATCTCCTGCCGGCATTACCTGCTCATGATTAACTGCTCTGGCTTGTCTCTGCTACCCTTTTGGCCCTTACAGAGAAAGGAAGAGAATGAGCATTGTGATGCCAAGATCTGTAGACTTTCTCTTATTTAACCATGTTACCCTGATGGTACTCAGCTCCTTTCTTGTCCTATTTTTGCAGCTGGGAGACAGAAAATCCAGTTGGTTTTAAGTATTCACCTGCAGCTGGCTCTAGGCAGAAATGGAACCTGGTCTGTGCAGTACGTGCTGCAGGTCCCAGGGGTTGGAGGAGGCTGTGGCCCCATGCCGCAGCAGGAGCAAATCTGGGGAATGCCTGCAGAGCACAGGGTGTGCTCAACCTACACTTGATGTAGTTGATTCACAGCATAGGCTCGACCACAGTGAAATAAAGGTTTGGGGAAGATAGGCTGGGTTATGTTGGCAAGTGGAAAAAGGGTGGATGGGGCCAAGGTGAAGGGAAAGGCATTCTTACCCTTCTGGTATTGTGGAACGCCAAACCTTTGTCTAAAACCTGATGACTCATCAAGAGTATGAAATGAAACACAATGATGATGTCCCCAGTGGATATTTCATCTGCAGCTATACAGAGTAACCTGATTTCCCAAATCATCCTTGCAGAGGGGGCTCATTGCGCAGTCCACTATACTGACTGGTCACCAAGGGCAGAGTTACAAGACCAGTTTGAATAGTAGAGATGGGTTTAGGTTCATACAGAAAGAGACAGTTTGGAATTAAGAATAATTAAAAAAATAATGAAGTTACCACTTAAAAGTTCCCTTCCTTATCCTTCAGCTCTCATGTTTCTACTGCCACAGTTATTTAGACATGTAAGACAGATCATGAGGAGATGAAGACACATGCAGAGAAATCAAGGGATACTGATCACCTGAATTGTGGAAGTAACTGTTTTGAACTAAAATTAGAGCTGCTTTTCTCTTTGGGTTCAGGATTCGAGTAACCTTATCTGAAATCATAACGCTTATGTAAACTCTCCCCATTCCCCTTCCCCCTCACCTTCTACCTTTGGATTTCCATGTGATGGTGCAGCCTGATGAAGATTCTCAGGTTTGATTTTCAGCCAGGTAAGTTCATCTGGAAATCTGAAGGTTGCTGCTTACCCCAGCTGCCAGGCCTTTGTGGGACTTGCCCAGCCATCTGCAATTCATTGGCTGCTCTTCTGCTGACATACACAAAGACAGCATGGGCAGAAAGTCCAACTACGTGTTTACCTTCAAACAGATGGTTGGACCTGACTTCTGATGAGCTCCTGTTGGCTCTGGTAGGGCCTGGCCAGCTCTGGGTGCTGGCCCTCAGCTCAGCTGTCTCCAGCATGGGACTAGGGTGCTTAGCACCCAGAATGGAGGAGGAGAAAGAAGACTTGAAATAGTTGTGATCTTTGGCTCCCAGCCAATGAAGCTTGGCTATCTCTAGAGGAGGGGAAGTTTGAATAAATTATCCAAGTTACTGAAGAGATTATTACTCCCTCTGGGCCTTCTCTGGGGAAGGTGATGATGGGAGAGCACGGGAAAGGAAGCAGTTGAAGTCTGTTAGAGAGGAGGCTTGTGCTCAGCATTGAGCCATCCTAAAAAAAACATCCCATGCAAAGTGTGTGAAGTGAAAGCACCCAGCAGAGTGTTTATTTTTTATTTATTTTTATTTTTGGCTTCACATCTGTGGTCCTTAAATATGGCAGAACCTAGTGGCAGGGTATAGAAGAAAGGTTTCTGGGACTTTCTGATGGCTTTTTGCCCTGTTACCAATGAGGGGCTTTCTGGCGACAGGTTCAGATTGGAAAGGTCTGCATCCCTGTATACTGTGGTCTGCACAAGAGCTGGAAAACCAGCACTCTGACTTGTGAACTGCCCCCTCATTTCAGAGGGAACCCAACTTAGATATTCGGTGGGGCCAGCACCCTGACTGCCATCTCTTCTGCGGCTTGTGTGGGATGAAGCAAGCGAGGTGAGTGGTCCCTCTGAATTTCCCCTCGGCTCCAGGAGGGGGAGGCAAGTGAGAGGGGATGCCTTCTCCCCATTGTCCCTGGCAGAGGGGACCAGCCCAGGGGAAGTGAGGGAGCTGGGGAAGAGGCTGTGTCTGTGGTGCATGTTCACAGACCCCCGTGTACAGTTTCTCGTCCGCGTGAGTCACCGGAGTGGAGCTCTCTGTGTGGGCATAGCTTCAGCAGTGTATCATTGCTCCCCCCTCCCCGCGCCCCGCTTTGTCCCTGGGTGGGTTCTGCACGGAGAGCCCAGACAGAGGAATTTCTTTCTTTACACAGCGGGTGTTAATCAACATTTTGGGAAATGCAATTACAGGTTCGCAAGCTGTGGAAACCTCTGGGTTTCCCACACTTGGTCAGCATGGTCATCAGCCGTGGCTCAGCTCTTTCATTAGCTGCCAGGGACACTTAACCTCTCATGGTGTCTGCATGAGGCTGGGAATGTTTTCTGAATGACTAAGGTGCCAGCCCTGCAGGCATACGTGTATGCTTAGCAGCAGCCAGTGCTAGGATTTTCCTAAGAGAATTAGGAACTCAGTTTTTCTGGGAGCCAAACTCTGTTATTATTATTTTTTTAAATCCCTGCCTTTTTGTTACTAGTTTTCCAGCTGAGCATGTTAGACTCCTGGCACCGCTGCCGTACTCTGGTGCATTACTCAGCTTTTGTGCTGCCAGACTGAAATGTCAATGCAAGTAACTATCAGCCTCCCAGGAGGCGAAATGGAGAGCACCATTCCCTCCTCCCTAGGTAAGCGGTTTCAGGATACAGCTTGGTCAGTTACGAGAAAGGTTATAGGATATGTTGCCTGAGGTAGTGAGGGGCTGAACTTGCCAACGCACAATGCTCTTCCCAGTCCTGAGTTCCCAAGAACACCCTGATCGCTGTGGAAAAATAAAGTTTTCCCATTATGTGCACTTTCCTGAATCATTCTGATAAATAATATTCCCACTGCCATTTTTCTGCATTCCTACATGGCGATGTCCTGACTGCTATATTCCGTGAAAAGCTTTGTTATCAGAAGCCATATTTCATCTACCAGCTCTCAGAGGTCACCACTTATTGGACATTTATATCCTGACCTTAAGTCCTTGCCTGTACAGAAAGGTCATACTGCTCTAGCCTTATTGGTATAATTAGAGTAAAACAATCTCCACCTTTCCCCCACTCCTCCTTGGTATGGATGCAATCACCCAACTGTAAAGATGTTTACACAAATCTAGGTTATTCTTACCGAGAAAGCAGAATGTGTTTTACCACAACAAGGCTTTTTTATTTCAGTGTAACTACATCCCCACCAAGCCTGATGTTGATCTAATTAGGGCTAATTTTATACAGAAGTGGATGCCAGAATCAGCACACTGATGTACGGGGGCACATGCATACACAAGGCTACTGTATATGTCTTAAACACGTCCTGATGTGGCACTCCCATCTGTGGCGGCACAGACCTAGCAGTGTGCAAGAAGGAAGTCGTATCACTGACTAAAATAATTGTATGGGCACAGAAACTGTGTTTAGACAAGGCTTATAGAGAAGCACAACTTATTTTCTGTAATTTCCTATCCTTCTACGGCTGGACTGCATTGCAGTAAGGCAATCCTGACAGCAGCTACAAGTATAAGGTCTGCAACATGACATGTAAATTTGGTCTAAGAGATGAAATACCAAAATTATTCACTGTTTAAATAGACAGTTTGAGAGAACAAGCTCCCATGAATTAATGCTTCATGGTCTGAAGTGCTTTTAGTGTTTCAATTCATTTTGAAGGATTTGGGAGAAAATGGCCCCTGTGTCTGGAAAGAAACCTCACACTGACCTCACCCAAGAAATCTGGATGTCTTCTTCCTGTTTTAAAGGAGCAAATAAGGATGAATCTAAATGAAGTGGCCAGCAAAACTTCAAGCCAAGTCAGTTACAACATATCTGCAACCACAAGCCAATTAGGCCTGCCCTGGGGATTTAATACAGTGTGCTAGACAAAGCCAGTATCTGAAAGTCTGCAGTGATTTCTAGTCCATGCAAAAAAACAATTAACTGAAAACAAGGTAAATAATAAACATGTTATGTAATATATTTTTGAACATGTAATATTCATGCCATTTCTCCAGGGTACCTCAATTCCAGGATGAGACGAGACTGTATTCAAACTCTGCTGACAGTAAAGCACTTTTTAGAGGAACGGGAATGCTTGGCAGAGCTTCCAAAGTCAGAAACTCCTTGGCCATGCGCAGCCATACCCTGCCCCACTGACTCAGATGCTGATCCTGAGGTATGAACCAGCTGCACCTACAAGTTAGAGCAGCTGTAGGCCTGCTGTGCCAGCTTATTTATCAGCTGGGAAAGTCCCGTATGGCACATTGCATACAGGCAGGCAAGGCCTAGCATCCTCAGGGTGTGTTTTGCTTTGTATTTGCTTTCTCAGTCCCAGTGCGCTCCTACACAAGGAAGATGGGTTGAGTAAATTTGGCTTTAGCCAAGTGTCACAGTTGGCTGCCAATGAGTGGTTGAAGGAACTTCAGTTCTACTTTGCTGATACAAAAGGATTTCAGAGGAGACCAACCATCTGTCCAATAACAGTAACTTGTAACTTGTAGTAAGTTTTCTTTGTGCCTTGCAGTGGAGTGGGTCAATGCAATTTTAAGACAAGCTAAACTAAAATCATCACTCATTTTCCTTCTACAACCTACAGTCACGGATAAGAATTTATTTTCTCTTCCAAACTTATTGTCAACATCCAACTATCAATACAACCCATGGACTATTGGCTTCAGTGGAAGCCAGAATTCACCAACATATTTGGAAGTGTCATATTTTACATGCAGTGCACCAGTCTTGAGATAAAACAAACCGCTGACAGGTGAAATACCAAAGTTTCAGGCATATCCTCCACACGTTAGTCAAACTTCACTACTGTGAAAACACCCTGCAGAAAGAAATTCTCAGATAGCCTGTACTCTGACAGAGCCTGCACAGGACCAAAAATGGGACACAAAGGTGTGATGCTGAGCATTCGGGGAAGGCGAGCAGGCCGGAGAAGGCTGGGGTCAGAGGGACTATGGGGTGAGAGAGCAGGCTGTGCCACACACATTCAATTGTGTTACATGCATAAGGGTACAACCTGCTCTGTTTCTGGATTGCAGGATTTTATGTTTTGAAGCTAACCTCTGGTTGTACAAGTGATTTCTTACACGGTGCACTGAGCAACACCTAATCATTTTCCCTCACACAGGGAAGTTAATGATTGTTTAATGTGTCTAGCGCAATGATGTCCCACGTTTGGCTTGCAGGTCTCTGAGGCTATCCAGGAAGTTTAGCAGTACACTATTCAACAGCTGAGCTTTCCATTAAATTAATTTTGGCATCCTATTTGTATTCCCGTTTCTTTTCATTTCCAGAATTCTTTGGAAAATAAACAGCATCTGATTTTGAAGATTAAAGCAAAACCCTACATTCATTATTTCACATCAAACGTTTTCTCATGGATGAATGAAAAGGGGAAACCTCCTTGGGCCTCTGATAATAAGAAGAGACGTTCCAGGGTTGATATCGTTTGTAGAAGGATATTGCCCTATGGAATTACATATTTCTGCACCAAAAAAACAAACAAACAAACAAAAAAAAACAAAAAAAACCCAACCCACCACTAAGAACAGCAGCTCATTTCTTCCTGGGTGGCAGAAGGGACTCGGCAGCTCTCTATTGTACACTGGCAGGGGTAAAAAGGGAAAGAAACTGATGGTGAAGTAACAATGGTGGGGGCCATGTGGTTTCTCATGCAGAACTCCTCGGCCAGAGCGGAGTTGGTGGTGGCATCATTCTCTCCTTGGTGATCCTTGTCAGTCCCAGGTATACTGGGGATATTTAGGGAACTTCTGCTCACTTCAACTGCAATTTGGACACCACATTCTCTTCTGTTACTTGTATTTTATCCTAAAAAATGAAATCAGGTAACTAATCTCTGAGGAACCAGAGGATCTAAAGTACGCCAAATCCCTGGTACTCATGTCAAGGAATGAAAAAGTCTTGATCAAGTTTCTGTTTTCTACATGGGGATTTCTCTGAAGCTCACTGCCTTGGAGATAGGTTGTCGTTCCAGCTGGATGTGTCTCCAGCCAGGGGCAGCTGTGGGCCCAGGAGGGGTAGGACTGCTTTGGCATGCTTTGACTTTTCTGCGAGCAAGTCCATTAGTCAGACATGTATTATTGGCGGCATTTGTTATTCTCATTTTGAAATTTCACATTGAGTTTCAAAGATAACATAATGCAGAAAAATGCTTTTAATGATCAATCTACAAGGGAGGAGGAACTGCTCTCCAGAAGATCAGAGTGGATAATGCAAATGCTCTCAGTGCCTGGGGATGTAGACAAATTAGGGAGAGGCCAGAGGAGAGCTCCAAGAACAGTAAGAAATTAAAAAAAAACATCGTCTGTTAGGAAAGATTAAAGGAAGTAGGGGGCTTACTCAAGGGCAAAGGTTTGTGAAAGATACATAAAGTCTTTGAATATTTAAAGGCTGTTATATAGGATGATAATCAATTTTCTTCAAGTCCACCTAGGAAAGTATAAATCTACTCATATCTACTCAATCTGTGGCAAAGATAATATACCTTGCTTACCAGCAAAATCTTTTGTTGTTTGTTTTTCTTTTTAAAAAAGCGGATTACTGAAATTTTAAAGCAGGTTGTCTAGGAGAATCAGGGAACTTACTTCCCAAAATGTTTTAAAGACTCAGCTAGACAATCTTCTGCCAGAGATCCTTGGTTACACTTAATCTTGCTTCAATACAGGGGTTTGGACTAGATGAACTTAAGCTGCATAAATATTAACAAAAAGCAAGTGATTGTCTCTCTGTTGTGTTTTAATAACCCATTCTGTGCAGCATGACCCAGGAACCACAAGAACCAAATATAATTGAAAATAGACCCTTGTCTATGGAAAATTGTTCCAAAAAGACTGGACTGAC